AGAAGTATTGGGAGCATAAGCTTTCGTGGCTAAGGACGTCACTTCTTCAGATGCAAGAAGTGAGGTTGCATCTGAAGAAGTGAGGTTCTTACCCACGAAAGCTTATGCTCCCAATACTTGTGTTAGTCTTAAAGGTGCCTCAGGACCCTCTGTTGCTATGTTAATGTTGTCCTCTTGCTGAGTATATTAATGTAAGTATTACTGCTTACAGGGAGAATGAGGAGTTGGGGTGAAAGATACAATAAGGTGATTCTTCTTCAGTCTCTGTTTTCTCCCGAACTGCATCTCCTGTTGTCATCACACTCTCTGCTAGCCCCAAATGTTGTGCTGACACTCTACCTTCTAATGTCTTTCCTGGCTGGTGAAAACCAGTGGGGAAGGATTGGGTCCATTGTTGGTTGAGGTTTCTCTATCTGGGGGGATGAAGGGGTTGTGGTCCTTGTGTTTTTAAGCTATTGTGAGGCCCATTCTCAAGAAAGCCAGATTGTTGGCTCAAGAGTTGGTTAACTCTCAAGTGGCATTCCATCTATTGTTGGAGAAAATTGTGGGTGAGCACCTCTGACAATTTCTTGGTTCCTCAAGCTGCCTTGACCTTGGTCAATCTGGTTACAGAGATGGATATGATTGTGTTATTGGCTGATCTTTTTCTACCAAAGGAAGAAGATAAAGTGTCGTTGTTCAAGGGATTTTCCTTACACATTTGTGGAACTGCTCCTGAGTGACTCAAGCCTATTTTTCTGAGAGAATCCAAATGGCAGTTGTAGCAATTGTTGCTCTGCTTCAGGAGTTCGTTTCTCTACACTAGAGATTGAATTTGGATCCTAGACCAAAACTCCTTTTATTTTAAAAAGGGACATTAGCAGTTGCTATTTAATTTATGCAATTAAATGGGATAACTGCTAATCAGGCGAGGCCAGGCTGATCCCTTACAGAGGCATATTTGACAGTTACCATTTATTCTATGCAATAGTTCAATGGGGTAATTTCCAGTTTATTTTTAAAATGAGTTTTATCATCACCTGATCCTGCAAACCTTTCTCTACACCTTCACCTGGACCCCCCTGAAGAGTCCCATTGCCCCTGTGCATCCAGATCCCCCTACTGAACTACCCACACCCAGATTGCCGCACACAGAACCCTCTAACCCAGTGGTTCCCAAACTGGGGTTCACAAAATGTTACAGGGGGTTCTTAGGAAAAAATTCCCTAATGGCGGACAAAGCTGTCCCTAGGGACCCTGGGCAGCATGGGGCCAGCAGCCCAGAGCCCCTGGACTTCCAAGAGCTAAGCAGATCAAAGCAAGCATCTCTATCACAGTGAGGAGATTTAAACTTCAAGACTCCCTACAAGAAATGGAAAGGGGGGTGGATATTTTTTGCTGTTTTTAAAATTAAATAGGCAGCTAGTATTGTTTTTAAAATTACTATGAAGAACAAGTTTAAGCTTTGTTGTAACATGTGTTGTTTGCCTGGACTGCTCAAGACCTGAATGCTTGCGTAGGAGGAACTCTTTGAGTTGGCTTCTTAAATACCTTCATGCTGTTTCACATCTGATACTCCTTGATGAAACATAGGAGCCTTGTCTTATAACAGACTTATTCAAAGTGCTACAAGCTATGAAAGTGAGATCTTGAAAGAGTGTTGCTGTTTTCATAATGTAATAGAAATACTGTAATGATAAATAATAATTAATAATAAATAGGTTGTAATAAGCATGTCATAAAAACAAATTTTATATTTCCAAGATCACTGCTTTTATAATTTCTACTCAGGTAAAGGAGAAAATCCCTGGAAATATTCATTTTTAAGGGGGAGTTCGTGAGACTTGACATTTTAGTGAAAGGGGTTCACAGGTTGTTTAAAGTTTGGGAACCACTGCTCTAACCCCACACCTGGCTCTCTTCTCCCCCCCGCCCCACACACACACTAAGCCCCTCCACACTTGGATCCTGCTGGGCTGAATCTGCCTCCCTACACCTGATGTGCCTGACATGTAACTGCTAATCCTGGTGAGTTGCTTCCTGCTACTCCTGAGAGAATTCTGCATCAAAAAATTAAAAATTATGTGCCAAAGAAATAAAAATTCTGTGTACAATATTTTAAAATTCTACAAAATTCTGCAAATGTTATTTGTCAATAAATAAATGTGGAGGCTCCAGCAGGGATCACAGGTGACTGGCTGCATAGAGGTGGGAAATCATCCTGCAGCCCTCTCCCTGGGATGTGGACCTCTGGGGCAGCCCTGGCCCTTGTGCTGTGTCAGGGTTGGGTGCAGCCTCACCGCTGAGTCCTTGTCCCGAGGTGGGGGGAGCTCTGCAGGGTGATCTCCCACCTCCATGCAGCCAGTCATCTGTGCGCCCCACTGCCATGCTGGAGCCTCCACATTTATTTATTGACAACATTTGCAGAATTTTATAATATTGCACATAGAATTTTAAATTTTTTTGGCACACAAATCCCTCAGGAATAATAATGAAAGTACTGATTGTGACCAGTGCAATCCGGGTTTATTAAAATCCTTATTTGATCTCCCCACGTCCTCTAATTTTGTGGGTAGGCATGAGTTTGGGGTAGCCACACCTTTATTCCATATCACACTGACATTGTGTGTGTGTGTTTGTGCAGACTGAAATTAAAATACATAACAAGGAATAGGTCTTCAGCACTGGAGTGGGTCACTGTGTAGTTATGCTGTTTATTCCTTGAGTTCAAAGCGGAGGCCATCATTCCATTACAAATCCTCATATGCAGGGGTAAAAAGTTAGCTCCCGACTAAATCTTTGTCAGTTTTGAAGAGTCTGCAAGGCAGTTAAATTTTGAAAGTTTGAGCACCCGAGCTTTGTGATTTGATACTTTGTACTTCGATAATTCGAACAGTAGTTATTACATTTTGCTGCATTGTTTATAGCACATGATATAGATCAGTTTTTAAAATGAGCTGCAATTTACTGCACAGCACAGCAGCTGGGTTGACACACAGCTGTAATCTAGTAAATCATATGTTTCTGGAAATTAGAACATGTACTTGAATATGTATTCATTCATTTGACTTCAACAACTGTGACTGATCAACTGTGAACTCTCTGGTAAATAATAGTCAGAAAAACAATCCCTATTAAACAGGTAGTTCATATTGCTTACTGGTGAGATGAGTTATTTTCACCTTACAGTACCTTCCACAAAATATTTTTCCTCATTTTACTGTTAGAAATAATCCTGCTTAAAAAATAAAATGCACAGAACAAAATAAATATATACATTGTTTAAATTATAGTAAGACTGACACATTGTTAGCAAAGTCAAGAAAACACATCCCAAAGATGTCTAAATACAGGTGAGGGGATCTAAGGCTCAGTCATGTGTTAACCATATGACTGGTATTCCCCTACCACCTGCTCTGCTGCCATCATCAGCTGATATCACTAAGCCATTAGGGCCCTGATACTGCCAATGTTTGTCCATGTGAGTAGTCTCATTGAGTTTGGTTAGCCTATTTGTGTGACAAGGACCCCTTGGGTGATTAAGGGTTTGGAGCTGCACTTACAAGCACAGGAGGTGTGTGTTACTGTTCATAACAATATAATTGCTGTTCAGGTATCAGCTACTTGGATATGTTTCTTAGCTATAGCTGGTTTAGGTCACTGCTCTTCTAATCTTGACTTGGTTTGGTCTGCATTATTAGTTGACCTGGCTGGGCAGGTCATGCTCTTTGGGGGTGACTTGGTAACTCTGTGCTAACTTGTTGGATGGACCCTGCTACAGCCCCCTAGAAGTTCTAGAGTGCATTTGTATGTCAAAGTACGCTGTGGAACTTCTAGTGTGTGGTAGCAGGGTTCATGTGGTGAGTTAGGGCATGGCGTGCGATAGATTCACATTCTGGCTTTCACTGAATTAATTTGCTGTGTAAACAAGCCTATTGTCATGATTGAATGTGCTTTAGCTTATGATTTTATAACTTTTGATATCTCCCTTCTTTTTGTTTCTAATCAGAATCTTATTTTATATTTGCATTTTGTTAGCTTTTCCTTTGTTGATATTACTTTTTCACAAGGAATTGTTTTTTCTCTTTGTTTGCTTAATTCTGACTTAAGCATGGTCTAGCCAATTTGTCCACATAAGGAGAATCATAGAATATCAGAGTTGGAAGGGATCTCAAGAGGTCATCTAGTCCAACCCCCTGCTCAAAGCAGGACCAATTCCCAACTAAATCATCCCAGCCAGGGCTTTGTCAAGCCGGGCCTTAAAAACCTCCAAGGAAGGAGACTCCACCACCTCCCTAGG